AAAAAAAAAAAAAAAAAAAAAAATCCACATTAGCAGTTAAAAAGACGAAAAATCACCTCCCTCATTCTGGATGGCATACTTCTATTAATGCAGACTAGGGCCACATCATTGCCTCATACTGATAACTCACACCAAATTTGCAGAGGGGTGTTTTTCCTCATCTTAGGCTGCTTGCCTTCATTTTCCTCACTTCCTACCACATGAGGACTGCAGGCATTAAAGGCCTCACTCTCCACCTCTGTCCCACAAGGCTTACAGGGGTACAGAGATAAGCAAAACTGGGCCTGGGCTGCCCTTCACCTTTGCCGATTGGTCCTCCCTCTCCTCTCAGAGTCAAAATGACTTAAGGGAGACAACTTAGACCTGAAAACAAATTTTACTGCCAACACAGATGGCCCAAACCCAGGGCTTGATTCAATACTTTACAGGGCAAAAATAAGCGTTACTGTCTCCTCATTGAGTTGGATTGTTTCCCCTGAGTGGACAAGTGACCATCTGATTTATAAGAAACCAGGAATTTTGCATACAATGTGGGTGTGTATTAACAACAACAACAACAGCAAAATCTGCCCACCATCCAAAGAGCAGCCCTCCCATGCTCTCGGTCCATGGGGCTGCCAGACACAGTGAGATTTCTGAGACCTTGGCTCTAACATCAGAGCATGTTTGCATGTGACCCTCAAATTCTAGTACAATCTGATCATTTGACAAATGAGTAAACTGATGCTCAGGGGAGCCCTGGCCCATAACAGCCCCAAGGTCACTCAGCAAGTGAGTGGCAGAGTGACCATTAGAATTTAGTCCTTCTGACAGTTCAACTCTCCTGCCCTGCTTGGAGTTTCTGAGTGACCACACAGGTCCCAGAGTGGTGAAAAACAAGTTTTTTACTTTCATTTTGTAATCGGCCCTAATGCCAGGAGGCAGGGCTGGGAAGGGAGGACACATCAGGGGATTTACCCCTATTAATTGATTTGACAAATATTTATTAAGCGCCAACTGTAAACTTGGCCCTGGGCCGAGGGCTGGAAGCACATTTCAGGGGCAGTGAGCGCTCTTGGTGTTTTCAGTGGCAGGTAGCTGTGGAGGGACAAAGGTCGCAGAATCACACACTTTCCTATGTATTACAGACATGGGAAGTGCCAGGAAGGAAAAGGACAAGCTGTTTACCAGCACATTCCACAGGTATCCTGACCTAGCACAGGGGTCAGAATGGGCTCCCAGGAAAAAGTGACGTCTGAGCTGAGCTGTGAAGGCATTTCCACAGGACTTTACAGTAAATGCTGCGAGGACAGCCTGTCCTCCGCCCACCTCCTCACTAAACTCCCCACTGCAGCAACCAGCATTCCCTAAACCTGCCACCAACCTTCCAGTAACCTGCTCATCTGATGACACACTCTGGGCAATCCCAGGATAACGATCTAAGATCCATTTCACAGCAGCCAGACATGTGCCAGCAGGGAAGCAGGATGTACCTCCCCAGAAAGGAATGTGGACCACACTTCTACCCGTCCCCTCTGCATCCACTGGGGAAGAAAGCTCTTGTGAGGTTTTCCCTTCCAAATGTTCCATGGGAATGCCAACTTTCCATCCAGCTGCTTCCTCCATGGGCTGGAATACGACTCCTTCCTCTTCCCCTGCCTGGTGAAGACTTTCTCCCCCTCAGGCCCAAGGCAATGGCCCACCTGACTGGCCCACCTCCTCCCAGGCTGGACTGGGTCTCCCCTCTGTTCCCCCTGCCTCCATCCTAGCCATGATCCTGGTATTACTTTTCCCCATGCACCCATGAGGCTGCCCCAATCACGAGGAGTTTCCTGAGTACAAGGCTTGTGGCTTCTTGGTCCTTATTCTCCCCTGTTGGTGACGTCTACCCTTAGAGTGACTTCAGCATCTGCTGGGCCCACTGATTTGAACCAGGCTCTGCCACTCACTAGCTCTGTGACCTTGGGCAAGTTACTTAACCTCTCTGGGCCTCCATACTCTAAAATGGGAATGATGACTAGTCCTGACCTCACAGGGTTGTTAGAGGATTAAATGAGAGCTCGCACATAACACGCTTGCGCCTTCCCTATCGCATGCTAAAGCACTGGATATACAGTATGTCATCAATAACCAGCCCACGGGTTTAATATGATGCTACACAATTTTTAAGCCTTGACGGGTGCAAAGAGTTTTTTTTTTTTTGATCTGTCCTGACTTCCCACCGGTTTTCCCCCGGGGCAGGATCCGCAAGACCCATTCTCTTAACTACTCACGTTCAAGCACAGGGCACAGGACGCGGTGGGGAGGGTTGGGGTGGGGCGTGCTGGGGGAGGGGCAAGGCGGTGGCGGGAACTGCGCACACAGCGAAGGGCAGGGGTCAGAGCGCTCCGTGCACAGACCAGCACAGCCCTGCATGCGGGGTCCGCGCTCTGCACCCGGCCCTCCCTCGCCGAGGCACACCTAGGGCGGCTACTGAGAACTGGTGCCGGGTGGCCCGTGTGCACAGCTCGGGGCGTCGCGCGGGCCGCCAGTGACTCAGCGCGGGGCGTGTGCAGGCGGCGCCCGCCCTGGAGGGCTTTTGCACTCGCCCCGGCTCCGTCCCGCTATAAAGGCAGACCACGGCGCCCTCCGCTCCAGCACGCCCCCTCGACTTCCTTGCGATCTTTCGTGCCGCAGTCTCCGGACCCCAGCCTCCGCTTCCTCTCGCCATGGACCCCAACTGCTCCTGCACCCCGGGTAAGGAGATCTGGTTCGGGGATGGGTGTCAATTGCAGAACTAGAGAAGCAATTTCTGACTCATCACTCACTTTCCGGGCACAAATTGCCCCTTTCGAAAGCGTTTTGGTGTACCCGCCTCTATTCTAAGTTAAACTAGGAGATCCCGTTTGACCGATAAGGAGATCAGAGTTCGTGGCTTGCCCAGGTTCCCATGAGTTGGTTGTGGAACTGGGACTCAAACTCGGGCTTCTAGCACCCATGCCCGCGTTCGAGTCTCCGGGAACCGTTTTTATGTCGGCCGTTCTCTTTGCAGGCGGATCCTGCAAGTGTGCCGGCTCCTGCAAATGCAAGGAGTGCAAATGCACCTCCTGCAAGAAGAGTAAGTGGAATTTTCTCTACATCTACCCCTAACGCGCCCAACCCCCCGCCAGGCCCGCCCCCACGCCTCCAGCCCTGTACACCACAGAGGGAATTTAAATAGGGCAGTAGGTGCCCCTTCCCTAGGGACGGTGGCGCCTCCACTGGAGAGGACGGGAAGCCTTATTAATCCTTTGTTCCAAGCGCTCATCTCTGCCGCCTCCTCCCTTCCCCAGGCTGCTGCTCCTGCTGCCCTCCGGGCTGCGCCAAGTGTGCCCAGGGCTGCATCTGCAAAGGGACCTCAGACAAATGCAGCTGCTGTGCCTGATGTCGCGGAGAGCCTGCCCCGGGTGTAAATAGAGCAACCAGGACAAACCTACATTCCTCTTTTTTATTTTTTGTCCTATAAAATACAAGAATGATAATAAAAGTGGTTGGCTTTATTCTGGCTGTTTTCCTTAACTTGACCAGAGCTGGGGTGAGGGACTGGACTAGAAGTAGAGACTTGGTTTCTGGACCAAAATGTTAGCCCTTAACAAACCCAGTGCCTTGTTCAAGCCACATTACCCCACTGGGCTTCATCTTTTGTAAAATGGAAGAGCCTTAGGCCAGATGCTATAAGGACACTGGGCACATACAGGGTCCCCTCTGTTTTCAAGTCAAGGGTTGGTGGCACAGAAACTTCTCAATCCAGAGTTCTCATTCTCCATGGTTTCCCTGTTCAACTTCAGTTCCTCGCTGGATTTTAGTCTTGAAAGTGACTAAAGGGGTGGAAAACTCCCTCACCTGCTTGAATCTAAATGGGGCGTCTAAAAGGTCCCTGTGGTGAAGGAACAGATTTCATTTCCCATCCATTGCAGACCTAAACCTTGGTAAAAACAAAAAAAATTATAAAAATGCCACAGAACAATACATGTTTTTAGATTCCACACATGTAATTTCAATCAATATATGAAAAACAAACAAAATCAGAGATTTAAAAACGTCACACACATGTTCATCGAAGGTGTCCATTGAGCACCGTTGCAATCTGTCCTTCCAAAATCCAGCCCTCGGCTACTTGAAAGCCGCAAAATAACTAGGGGTGTGGAGGGAATTACACAGTCATTTCCCATGAAGAGGGCGTGTGCCTGAGAATTGGTTCCAGATGGACTATTTCATGTCTGCCCATGCTGGGTGATGGCAGATTCTGCAGTTTGGAGGGTGTGGTGGTGTTTATTAGGCAGGCAGGAGTGAGGTGCCCTGTGACTTGTGATTAATGGCAGCAGTTAGTCCCCCTGGCTACTTGTGGAGGGAATGGCTATTTGATGTAAAATAAAAGAGAAAGACAAGTCACGTGGCCCAAGAGTCAAGACCATGCTTGTCCACAGGTGCCCTGTGTGAAGAGGGGGTTTCAGAAACCAGCCTGTGCTGAGTGCATGGGCATCTCAGTTCACAGCCTGTTTTGCCACAGGTGGTATGGCCTGGGCATGTTACTCAACATCTGAGTCTATTTTCCCATTTGTGAAAAAGAGATTATATCTCTATGTGGGGATTAAATGATAGTGTCCTGGCTTAATAAACAGTGGCCATTATGATCATTATGTCCACACTGACATTCATGAAGAGAGAATCCTTTTAGCTCCCAACAAGCTCTTGGGGAAAAGCTCATTGGTTTAGAAGCATTATTCTGGGTTGGAGGTTAAGGATGGGATTGGAAATTTGCTGATCTGGTGCCAAAGGGAGTATGGATGACCTCCAAAGAGACCCCCAGGACAAGATGCTGCCACAGCATTTGGACAGACTCAGAAGCCATTCCCATGCTTCATGTCGTTTGATCTGCACAGGAACCAGTGAGAGAGTGAATGTGCAGGGGCTGGAGTGATTGTGCTGATTCCAGAGAGGTTAAGCAACCTGCCCAAGGTCACACAGCTCAGAGGTCAGAGGTCTGAACCTACACTACAGCTGACCTCACCCCCTGGCCACAGCTGGCAGATAATGATGTCACTGAATGCTAAATCCTGCCTCTCACTATTCAGAGTTAGAAGGACCTCTCGAAATGGACAGATTGTGCTCCTGGCTTGACACATGGAAAACTGAATTCCAGAGAGGTCACAGAACGACAGACTGCCAGCTCAGTGCTCTCCCCATTGCTGCCTCAGTGCCAGCTTTCAACATCCTCATCTGTCATATGAAGTCCTGGTGTAAGATTGTGGGTGAGGGCATGATGCTGCAGTCCGCTTGCATGAGTGCCAGTCTCACCTGTGTCACTTATAGCCACAGGACATAATCTCTCTGTGGCTCAGTCTCTTCCATTTTTTTGTTTTGTTTTGTTTTGTTCTGTTTTGTGGTACGTGGGCCTCTCACTGCTGTGGCCTCTCCCGCCGCGGAGCACAGGCTCCGGACGCGCAGGCTCAGCGGCCACGGCTCACGGGCCCAGCCGCTCCGTGGCATGTGGGATCCTCCTGGACCGGGGCACGAACCCGCGTCCCCTGCACCGGCAGGCGGACCCTCAACCACTGCGCCACCAGGGAAGCCCGGTCTCCTCCACTTTTAAAGGGGCAAAATAAAAGCATATGATTCAGAAGACTAAAGAACTAGGACACGTAAAGAACTTAGTGTGGTGCTTGGCACGTGGTGAGTGGTCTACAATGTTAGCCATTTATTATTATTATTAACATAGGGGTTATTTATTTACCTCTAGACACAGAAGCAGTGGTGGTGTGCCTAGCTGTGTGTCCTATGTTGTCCTCATCAACTGAACAGCACTGGGGGATTTATAACCCTGAGCACAGCACTCTGTGCCCTTTGCTACCACTTGCACCAGTATTTTACTTAACATTTTTCCTTTAATGATTTATATGTTTTAAAATATATTTGTATTAGCATTCTCCAGAGAAACAGAACCAGCAGGATGTAGGTAGGTAGGTAGATAGAGAGATAGATAAAGAGAGTGAGAGATTTATTTTAAGAAATTGGCTCATGCAACTGTGGAAGCTGGCACGACTGAAATTTATAGGGCCAGCCAGCAGCCTGGAAATTCCAGTAGGAGTTGACGTTGGTTGCAATCCTGAGTCTAAAGGCCGTCTGGAGGCCCAATTCCCTCCTCTTCAAGAGACCTCAGTTTTTCTCTAAGGCCTTCACTGACTGGATGAGGCCTTCCACATTATGAAGGGTAAGCTGCTTTTCTCAAAGTCTACTGATTTAAATGTTAATCACATCTGAAAAATACCTTCACAGCAACATCAGGCTAGCGTGTGACCAAGGATTGGGCATGACAGCCTAAAACACGTGGGTACATAAAACTAACCGTTATAGACCACCACTTATCAAACTAGCACCCACACAACTTCGTAAACCGCACTTAATCTCCCAACAAAGACAATAACAAGGTCATACTTCTGCCTAACATGACACAACTCTCCTACCTACAACTGAGAATGTATAACACTGTCCCCAAAGGAGGACGCAAAGTCTTTGGGTGATGGTCACTTTTGTACTTGATATCACGTAACAAATACTGTGATGTTAACAATACATAAACACTACAATGTAAAGTCAATGCATTCTATGTTATATGAGAAGGGGATAAGAGAGGGAAGAAAACAGACATTTGCCGTATATATATAAACATATTTATAACAAAATAAAGAAGCACTCCTAACAATTACAGTTGTCATTTCTGTTTCTGGAACTGGTCATGTGGTTATAGCTGACATTTATAAACATCTTCTTACACTACCTATTCTGTATTCCCTTTGCTCCCTGCAAGCACCTCAGTTGGTCATGGTTCTTTACTGATGCTGGCGTGACCCAAACCTTCATTTTTTTTTTTTTTTTTTTTTTTTTTTTTTTTTTGTCAAATTCTACTTAGTCCTACATGATACCTTTTTGTTTTTTTTTGTTTGTTTTGTTTTTTTGTTTTTTTTTTCCTTGCGTTATGCGGGCCTCTCACTGTTGTGGCCTCTCCCATTTGCGGAGCACAGGCTCCGGACGCGCAGGCTCAGTGGCCATGGCTCACGGGCCCAGCCGCTCCGCGGCATGTGGGATCTTCCCGAAACGGGGCACGAACCCGCGTCTCCTGCATCGGCAGGCGGACTCTCAAGCACTGCGCCACCAGGGAAGCCCCCAAACCTTCATTTTTGAAGGGTCTGAGCCTTTATCAGTCCTGCCTTGATTGGGTTGTTACAGTAGTTTTTCACTGACTTTGATCACAGAGCAGGGTAGTACTAAGAGATGCCCTAAGGGCATCTTCTCTATTCCATAGGCTTTTTTACAGCCATTGCAGAGTCTTAACCAATAAGCCTAGAGTAGTTGCTACTTTTTGCAACTAGCTCCGAGCAGCATAATATCATCAGTGTACTGGACCAGTATGATGTCTTGCAGAAGGAAAAGGCAATCTAGGTCCTTGAAAACAAAATCATGATATGGGCCCGTGGAGAGTTGATAAGCTTGAGGCTTATCTCTGTTTGAAAGATTGCAAGCAGTACACTGATGCTGAAGATACATCAAAGGAAAACTTTGGGCCAAAGGAAAACTTTATCTTTGAACTCCTTCCCTTGGGAAGCTGACTGGATTCAGATCCGGTGGCACTGCTTGCCAACTCTGTGACCCTGGGCAAGTTATTTAACATCCTTGTGACTTACCTTTCCCACCAGCCAAATGGGCTCATAAATAACAGTATTCCTCTTTTTGAGTCTTTGTGAGGGTTGCAAGATAAACAATTAACCAGGTGGGACACACACACAATGCTGTCTAATGGTCAGTAATATTGAAAGGGAAACAATTATTTTTCTTGATATGCAGATACTAGATCTGCCTATCACCTAAAATGATCCCTCCCCTGGAGACATCCCACTTTCTGAACAACTCCCTGGAGTGAGGTGGGCTGGCTAGGCTGTGGAGAGTCTCTGGATAGTTTTGTGCGAAGGATCCAGACATATGTGCCCATACATCCTTTCAAACTTAAAGAGTGGAGGAAGGATGGAGCAGACAGAGGCCAGCGTCCACCTTGAAACTGAGACAGAAAAACAGGGCCTAAGTCCCTCTGGGCACAGGGAAAGGAAAAGTACTGGGAGGCAAACGTCACATCCACCGCTGGGACGCTGCACAAAACTCCCTGGGCTCTTTCCACCGCCCCCTTCAAGCCAGGGACGTGAGCACAGGCCGGGGCGGGGGGCGGGAGGGGGAGGAGGGCCGGGGGCGGCGCACACGGGCTCCGGAAACACGAACTTTAGCACCAACGCAATGGGGCCTGGGGTGGCAAAGAGGGCGGGGGGGAATGGGTTCCTGGAAGATCCCGGAACAAAGGTGACTGCCTACCTTGGGAAAATTGGGAAGGGGCGGGCA